TAATACCCTCCATATCCAAGCTACAACTACTTATTAGAGGAAATCCAGTGTCTTCAGCTATGACATTGTGGAGTTAATTCTGACTTTTCTCCTATATATATATATTAAATCTATATAATGGTAGAAGATGAAAGTGGGAAACTGGTTAACCTTAAAGGAAATGGGTGAAAAACTTTCACATCATTTTGTCTGCTGGTTTTCAGCGGGAATAACAAAAGAACATTGAGGGATCTGCTGAGATTTCCATGAAAGTTAAAAAATTGCAGATGTTATTTCAGGGTTGGTGTTTAGCTTGGTCATGAGCACCTTACCCATATCCCAAGGGGGATGCTCACAGAGTCCTTAATCATAAATTCACAGTTTCTGTTGGAACAGAATTGTGAAGGAGATGTCCAAGGAGTGACATGTCCAAAGAAATATTTTGTCTGGCCCATGAGTGGGGTGTTTTGGCTCAGAACACACCTTGTGTTGGGGTCAGGATTTGGCATGTTAGGGATTTAGGAGAGATCAAGAAGAGAGGTTGAATGTAGGGATGTGTGGGGTCTGTGAAAGGAGTGTCCAAGGAACGGCAGACTGCCAAAAAAATATTTCCTTTGAGAGCTGGAGCATGGCTAGGAATCCTTTTTTGGGAGGAAGTTAATTCTGAGTGTTGGATAGAGTTAATTTCAGGACATAAAAACCCCACAGTTCCCAGATTAGTTGAGATCTTCTGTAAAATCTTCGGTCTCTGTCTCAGATAAGTGCATTGCACAGATTTGATCAGAGGGGGATTTGGCATTAATGAGAGGGAAGAAAACTCAATTGCATACTCTTTCTTTTTGTTATGGAGATATTTGTGGGTTTTGTTTTTTCCACTGGGGCTTTTGTCCTTTTCTAGGCATGTTACCAGACACTGGAAATTTTGCCATATACCATTGGAGAACTTTCCCTCCGCAGTTTTCTTTGCTTTAGCTCTTGGCCCATGTTACTCTTCCTCTGTTCTACTGTCCAACTTGAAAGTTTCTGCCATATCTTCCTGCTGCAAGAAGAAAAGTGCATAAAGTAGGAGTGTCTATTTTTATTTTAGTGGATTTTTGTGTAACAAAGCACTGGGGTACAGAAAGCAGAACCAGGTAAATGGGGCTTTGATGTTTAGATGGAGATCAGCAGCTCACTGCACCCTGGAGGACAGAAGGCTTCTCAGGAAAGGCAGTGATGAGGCCAGATAGCACTATCAACTTCCTTTGAACTCACAACTCCATTGTAACTCAAACTGGGCTGAATAGGTAGGCAGGAGCGAGTGTAAGGTGACATGATCTCTGCTTCTTAAAAAAATTGCCCTTCAAGCATAACCACCTGCATTCAGCTAGATGAAGATTTCTTTTGCTGGAAGAAGGTGTTTAGAGGTCTCAGTAGTGATACTGTCACAGTCAGGGAACATGCCATTACAAAACCTGCTATGATCCATGATGTGATACGGTGATGGTAAATGTGCTGGTGGAACTGATGGCCAAAGCAGATGTGATTACTACTCTCTCAATAATCACAACAAATCACACTGGTATTCCAATACTGAACATCATCTGCAACGAGTGAAGACTGTGTTTGTTATGGACCTATATGAAGGTCATGCTTTCTGTTTCCAAAGTTGTCTTATATGTGGTGGCCAAAATGACCTGGAATTACCCTGGTATTTTTAATGAACATATTTCCAATAGTTATGATGATGGTGTAAGCAAGGGATTCAGAGGAAGCTGCTAGAAACAATCCTCAAAAAACAGATCTGGCATTCTACACTTAAAAGGGAATTGAGGTGTTGGATACAGTGTTGGCCAAGAAAGCATGTTCTTGGATCTTGCTGTCAGAAGAGTGCTATTGTAGCACTAGCCAGACAGCTCCTGCTAGAAATGGAAAATTGTACCCAATTCTGAATGCACTCATTTGTGCCATACCTGGTAATCTACTGATCCAGCACAGTCATGACCTAAAGTGACCTGGCTGTGAGCTGTAGTTCAGACTGATATAGTGTAAGAATTGTTAAATCAAATTTCTCCTGGACTCTCTGGTGCCAATACACTGCACTGAAGTCAGAGAAGTTACTTAACTTGCTCAATGGATAGTGCTTCATGTTTAGTTCTTGTTTTCCAAGTGCTCTGTTCTAAAACTTTCATCTGTCTTTGAGCTATAAAACATGAATAGATTTACGAAGAATTGGGTGTTGTTTTGGTCTGACCTTCCTAACCTGCAAAACAATATCTCATGCTGAGCAATTACTTTGATTCATTATTACTTTTTAGAGCACTTTTCCCTCCAAGATAAAAACTTTGGATGAAGTAAAATATTAAGCCTTTTGAAGCATAAGTTCAATTGCTAGAAATTGAAATAAGCTCTTCATGCTTTATAAAAGGAATTTAAACTTCCATTACGCTGAAAATAGTACTTTAAATTCAGATGTGCTTTAGTTTTAAAAAAAAAAAGAATAACGAATTAAATTATTTGCTTTGAAGTTAAGAGATGTTTTTTTTCACATTCAGTATTTTGGTACTGTATAATTATTATTGCAAACCAAATGGCTTTGAACTAAGAATCAAATATTCAAGTGCTATTAAAAGCAATTTTCCCTGTATTTTTCTGAGATATTTTAATCAGTTCATATAAAGTGAGGTAAATGAGGTAATACACAATATGTGCCCACTTTTCACCCTCCATAATAATTGCTTCAGTTACACTTACCTCGTCTAATGCTGTTGCTCTAATTATCTTATTCTGCAAGTTAGGATGTTTTTAACTGCTAGGCTTATCTAGAGTCAGAACCTACATACTATACATCCTCTATATAACCTTTAATGGTAATTTCATATCGATTTAAGTGAAGTTTTTCCAGCCTAATAAAAATAAGCATATAAGATGAAACGTTTTGAAATCAAAGGAGCAGATACTTATGCCTAAATGCAATGCACTTATGTGCATATTATTTTCCTAGATAGTGGTTTATGTTGTAGACAAGGTTTTACATACACAGAGTACATTAATTTTTATTTCCAAAATAAACCAATGGTTTCCTCTGGTTTCACAGGTTGTACTACTGCTCAAGTTTTCAGCATTAGAAATTTGAGTTATTAACAGTGTATATTCAAATGCTGAGTCACATAAAGACTATATGTTGACTATCTTGACCATAAAATCCATTCTTGCTAACGATGGATTGGGAACTCTTTTGGGTTTGGTGCAAAATTAAATTCTTTTGAAAAAGTGCTGTCCTTGTAACCCAAGAAGAAATGAGACAAAAAATCAAACATTTTTTCCTATACACTCTTATGAGGTATATCTTATATCTTATCAGTCACTTTGGACAATATTGAGTGATATATAATACTTCAAGAGGAAAAATATTAATTTTTTTTTGGCTCATATAGTTTGTTAGATTTCAGATGTTATTCTCAGAGCAGGTATATTTAGATATTTCAGAAAGATTCTAATTCAGATTTTAGGGCAGACAGATTTTCACTGGGACTTTAATACATTTGAATTTGTACTCTCATTTCTTTGACAAGAACAGTAGTCAAGGATTTGAACATTTATTGATTACTTAGTTTTCTACGGTCTAATGAATGAATTAATTAAATTAATTAGTTTAATTAATAAACACATTTAACTAATTAAAAGTACTACTAACACATTCTAGCTTTCTAGTGAGATTACTTTGCTTGCCAAATATGTGTCAAGACCTATTTTATCCAAATCATCTTGAACTCAGCAGACAGAAATATGGTCTTGAAAATCTGTCTTTAATTTTCTTTTGTTAATAAAGCATATTCAGTGTAGGTCAGTTCTGTCTGTATTTGCCTCTTTTTATTTCCTCTTTGTTAATACAAACCCATTTATCAGTCCTCACGCTTGATCAGCTAAGGTATCACCCAGTATTCTCATTTATTTCCTCTATTCCTCTTGACGACTGCAAGCCTTGCAGATATCAAAATAATTTGTTGATGACTCCGTCTATACTTTTCACTAGTAATTGACAAATCTAGTAAGCAACTTACTTGTGGAGAACTGATTTATGTTTGAAGTTTGTATAATAGTCTCAGCTATGATTAATTTAAAAGGAATTCTCCTATGAGCATATGGCATATTTGTGATACCTATTTATCATCATTTGCTTCAAATAAGAGGTGGAGCTAATCTTGGAAAGAGCTCTGCATGTTTGTTTGAAGGAAGCCGAGCATCACCCCAGTTGAAAATGCTGACTCATCTCTCTTATTTCTGTTTAATTTAAACTCAGCACAAAGCAGCGAGAGCTAGATTTTATCTTCAGAGAAGCAAATTAAAATTATTGCTTGAACAAGACTTTGTGAACCACAGGGTTTAGTGAGGGAGGAAAAATGTTTAAAAAGGCATAGATTGGAGTAGATTTTCAGAGAACACAGTTGTTGGGATGTTTGTAGTGACTCGAGGGGCACTCTGGGTGTTTTTTGTTTTTGTCAAAAAGCAGCAAAGCTGAAAAATTGTCAGTAACTTATTTGAGGTATTGACAAGGCAGTGGAATGAGGAAGCAGGGTGATTTACACCTTGAAATCTGAGAGCCCTTCTTCAGTTTCAGAGATCTTTTGGCTTTTAAGATATTGGGTTGTTAGCACATGCCTGCACCTCTACATAGTTCAAGTGGCATCAATGGATTTGGCATCAATTTCTGCCCTTGTAGCCTTGGTAAATTTTCTTGGTGGTTTTTTTTCTGGGTCAAGAACAGGCTGTCACTTCTGAATGCTTGTTGCCTTGAAAGCAGCAAGACTTTTCATCAGCAACAAAATCCAGATTTTGCTCAAATGTATAAGCGATGTTTTCTAGCAATAAATTTGTTCTGTAGTTCTCATTGGCTTTTCCCCCCCATGCTATTGACATTTAATTAACATAGCACAGATTATCTCTCAGTAAATACGTTTATAAAGCATGTTTATAAAAGCTAAACTCTCTTCCTGGGATGTTTCACTGAGTGGTAAAATTAATGGTTTTTATTTGTTCAGGTGGTTCTTTGGCCCCATCAAACGAGCAGATGCCGAGAGACAACTGTTGTACCCTGGAAACCAGGAAGGAACCTTCCTAATCCGAGAAAGTGAAAGTCTAAAAGGCGAATACTCACTCTCAGGTATACTCTAGTTTTTCATCTGAAGCAATGTTTTAAAAATTTCTCAGGTGATCTGGGCTTTTTCATCTTTGAGAATAATAAACTGTGAACATAAAAATCAAATTAAGTTCATAATAATGATTTTTTTTCCCCCAGGAGAAAAAGAAAAACTTGGAAAAAGTAATTTGAATTTATATTTTATAGACTTTGTTTATCAATATACTCAGAACAAGAATTAACTTTTTTATGCTTAGTACTTCCAGTGTTCTAGCTGCCTTAAAATGGTATTTTCATGACCAAAGCATAAAAAATTACATTACAGTTGTAAACTGCTGCTCTGATTAGTACACAAAACAAAAATAAAAATAAAAGCATATTGACAGATATCTTCAATTTAAGAAAAGAAGATTTCTGTTAGTGCTTACTCTTAGGTTTATATTTATTTGTTTTCCGGGATAAAATCATAGGAAGGTCTTCAAAGCTATACTTTAGAGTCAGTGATGTTTCATGGAAAATTTCACTTTAAATATCAGTAAAAAATTAGATTGATAATGACGATGCATTTTGAAATTTAAGTCCTTTATTTGAATCTGAATGGTTATCAAATTAGGACAGTTATTCATTAATAATTTTACTCACTTTCATCTAAGTAAATGATGTTTTTTCATGCTGTAGATATTGGCCATTTTAGGTAGTAAATGTGATTGTTTGTAGGTTGTTTTCTGTAAACATTTCTCATCAAACTTGTCATACAACTGTGAGTTAGGAGTATAGTGCTGTCCTTGAGACAACAGAGCTATATACCCAAGCTTCCTTGTGTGTTCTACTTATTCCAGAGCCAGGAAAGGCTTTTTATCGTGAATAAACCATGAGTAGTCATGTGCAGAATTATGTCAGTAAAATGAGAGACACCTTGTTCATAATGAAATCCTTTCTTATTGACTCCTCTTCTGCTTGGATGATTATGTGTCATCCACCTTCTGAACATTACATAGAAACACAGCTTAATGAAATGTTGACACATTCTTAGCTTCACTTTCCCAATTATAAGCAAAGTGCGCCTTCAATGTCTTGTGGTAATGTGAGGAATGCTTTTTATTGCCATGACAAAGAAATGTGGAGTGAAATACAGGGAAGTTTATTGAAATAAATGTGATATTTACAGTACTGACACAGTTTACTCCAGAGTTTCAGTTTGCCCTCAAGGAAGTTGGTCCTTGCCATGAAGTGCTCAAAGGAACACTACCTTTAGCAAGAAGTCAGACTGCTCCTGAGTTGTGGTAGAACTGACCCCTTTGTGTGTGCACACTTTCATCCAAGGACTGAAGTACAGCCACAGGCCTTCCAAAATGCTTTCTCTCCATGTGCCAACTTATCGCTGTGCTACATAGTTTCAGCTTCCTTCAAGTGTTCTTCATTAATGAGCTGATTTCATCCAAGGACTGGGCTAGACTAGTAACAGGGTGATGTTAAGCAGGGAAAGAAACACAAGCCTGTGTTATCTTCTTAATGATGGCACTTGAACACATGGCACATTACTAAAAATCAGTGAAAGATCTTTTGCTTGTACACCTGGGGGTGGGAATGCAAATTCTTTTTTGTTATTCTCCAATATCCTCCTTCTAGGAAGGATTTAAAATGTTAATTATTTATCCCACATCCTAACCACTTCTGTAACAGGAAAGTAGATGTATCTTAGGTAAACTATGAGTTATTCCAGAGAAAAATCCAAGAGAATGAAAATAAATATTAGGCCAGCATTTGTAGTAGTATTAGACCACCCTTTGATGCTGTTTAGTTTTTTCATTAAAAATTTTGGATAGTAAATTTATTCTGATCTAGTATATTTGATTAAATTATGAAATTATGTCTTGTGGTAGCCTTTTTTTTTACATTTTTCTATAATCTTATTTGGGAAGAAAAGATTTGATGATGACTGAAAAGAGCAAGATATGAAACCAAAAGTGTGGATTTCTTTCATGCTGGTTTGTTTGATTAAGGAAGGTAAATGTGGCACTGAAGAAAATAATATACACAAGGCTCCAGCTGCAGGAGCCGTCTCTCCTACATGCACAAACATGGGCTGTCCTCTGAAAATGTATGCATGAATATATGTATCATCTCAGATTTATTAAACATTTGTGCTCTTTTAGGCAAAGAAAGAGGATAAACTCTGAAGCAATCTGTAGACATTATTGGTGGCATCATTTCTCACCGCTGCTGTATCTTTTAGCAGCTTCCCAGAGTTGAACATAATTTATCCTTAACGTGCTTCTTCAACCCAAGGAGCTAAATATTATTTGCTGCTTACTGAATCGGCTTAGCTGGATGGCATCTGTTTGTATTATGAAAGCTCTTTTGCTTCCAACCTAATAGTATACATCATGGTCTAGATGTTTTATGTCCATAATCTCCTTACTTATTGTCTACTTCTTGTAAAGCTAGTGCATTCTAAAGCAAACAATGAAATAGTTTGTATTGTGGGAAGCATTAGTAGGAGAGGAGGTTGTTCAGTTCACCAGGTGCTATGGAGAAGAGTCTTGTCCTGCAATCTTTCCTGTTTGTGCCATTGTAGGAATTATGTGACACTAAAGCTGAAGCTGGAGGGTCACTTCTATCTCCATGGTAGCTGATACACTAACAGGGGAGAAGTCACAACCCAATATTTTGGAATTAGTCCCTAATTTCTGCTTCCAGGTTTTTCAGTCTAGAAACATTAGATTTCAAAAGTCCCATCTTTTCTAGGTCTGATTGGTTTTGCTCTTTTATTGCTGTTTCGGTTTCACTGCAGAGTAGATGATAATGGCTTGAAAAGTGAAACCCTGGCTTTCAGAATTAAGGTCTTCAAGAAAATATTTTAATTCTCTGTCTAGAATGCCACTTAGGTAAAAAAGAAGCTGAAAAGGAATAGAGATTTTACCTAAGAACCCATAAACTGATTTTATGATTTTCATGTTTGATTTCATACTCATATGGGCAATAAGATATATAAGAGATTAATTAAGGAGACAAATGATCTCCTTAGTAAGAAAAAAAAGTTTAAAAAATAGTCAGTCTTTCATGAAAATTACATTTTTTACTTCTAACTTGCCTTGTTGGGAAAACTCTCAATTTGTAAGGTTTGAATAATGAATAATTATTTCAATTAAAACAAGAGATTCATGTTCAGAAAGGTTTTTATCATCTATGAACAGTGAAATGAAAAGCTCATCAAGCCAGATAGGCCACTGACATGTGTTACTATAAATTTAGAGTGTTTGACATTTTAAAAATAGGTTTTCCCATTTTAAAAATGCACATGTTGCCGACAGATTTTTATGTTGATGACTCCAGCATCTGGTGTGAAATGCATTAAATTTTAAACATGTTGGTGCCATCTTAGATGTTGCCTCTTTTTAATTAAAAGCCATAATTTAGATGTGCTCAGTTTAATTGAGTATCATTGCCAGTGATAGCGGGAGGCTCTGTACTTAGCCCATCACTGAATAATGGTATCGGAAAGACTTATTGCATTAAATAACAATGTAAATGGTTTATGTTTTCTTCAGCTATTTTTTTCCCATGCTTCTAAAAGAATATTGTGTGCTTTTCTCTTGGGTTCCAGCATAGGAGAAACAGGCAGTTGTTTAAGGCAGCAGACTCATAAAACTGGAAAAACCATGGCCAGATTAGGAAGATGATTTTGGATCTGTCTCTGCACCCGTTCTGTGCTGGTGAGAGTGATCTCATGATTCACCCTCCTCCCACATCCACTCTGGGCATGGAGGCAGAGCAGGGGTGCTGCTGGTGGCAGCGCTGCATGCCGAGTGCTGGGGGAGGACTGTTCACAAGGGCTGTGTTGGGACACATCGTTTTTGGCAGTAATGGAACATTAGTGTCTCCATGATTCATTTGGTGAAGGTGTTGACTCTGCTGATGCCACCATAAATTTTTGTGCCCTGGGGAAGGAGTAGTAAATTATTTTATTCACATTCTTCAGGTGGCAAAATCTGCTTCTGTTTAACCCAGTCATGTGAAGATGGATGGCTGGGAGAGGATAATCCTTCTGTTAGACTGAACCTATGTGGAAATCTAGTGGAGAGCTGTAATTCTTTTGGAAAGGGCAAGCTGAGGAGAAAACCCCTGCAGTCTTCAAAGCCAGCTACTGTCAAGCTGTGTGAAACTGAAGTTAGAATCCTGTCCTGGTTAGTAGTCTGGCATGGATGTAGAGATGCCTGGAAGGATTATGGGTGGTCCTTTCCTGAGTGATATGTGCTCTGTACAATTTTGGCAGAGGAGCTACACTGTGCTGCAGAACTCCAGGTGTGTGCCGCAGGGCTTGTACAGCCAAAATACAAGTAAACAATGCCTTGTCAAATACTGCACTAATCTCAGCTATCTGTTATGAGATGAGATGGTATCAGTGCAGAAATTTTCTGCAGCTTCTCAACACACATCACCACCTGACCAGGATGCTGTCAATCATAAGGCTTTGTAAAAGGTTCATTTAAGAAATTAGAGAACTTCCTTCAAACCAGCTCTTGCATTATTACTTCATAAGTAATAGTTATACTACTGCTAATAAATAAATCAGGTAGTCAAACTACTGTTACTTGTGATATACAGCTGAGACTGGATTAACACAGTCATCCTGTTGGCATTTTGTTCAATGCATCATAAAAACTAATTAATTTGTTTCGATTAATTTTCCTTTGAACTTTGGAAAAGTCATTACTTCTTCAGTCTGTTGTTACTGAATTATTCCCTCTTTCATTTTGCTTCAGCTCATTTCCAAATGATACATCACAAAAACATTCATAAATTTTATAGTTAAAAAGAAGTAATTATGAGTGTTAATTCAAAAATAAATATAACTTGAAAAGTGTGATATAATATGGATTTTGCTTACAAATATTCTCATTCCTGTCTTCACATAGAATTGTAAGTTCCCAGGTTCCTAAAAATACTACCTGAGGTGGAGTATTTTGAAAAGCTCCTGCCTGCTCTCTGGTGGTCTTGGATGACAATCGCACAGTACAGTGCAAAAATATTTGATCATTCACGATAGTACTTAAGGAAGGAGAGATTTCCTCTTTGATTTCATCACTTAGATGGTGAGAGAAATTATTCTTCCTATCAGCTTCGCTAATTTCATGTAACCAATTCTACATTTTTTCTACATACAATATGTAACCATGTATTCTTCTGTTATTATAACCAAAGCCAAGATGCATACAGTGGTACAGAATAAAGAATCAGTCTTCTAGGTTTGTTGTGGAACATTGTTAATGTTAGAGCTAACAGCTGGGGGCTTCTCTGGAGCTAAATCATTTACCCTTCTGTATGTAATATAAACTCTGTAATGCCCATTGAACATGGAGAGCAATGGAATGTTGATGGAATGTCTTGTAAACGATACCCACACTAAATATGCTTTCAGCTCTTCTGAACTGCCCTCTCTGATGATTCTAAGTCTATTATTGCTTCTAATGATAGTCCTTTGAAAAGATCTCTAAACTAGTAGTCTCCCAACCTTTTTTTTCCTTTTTTTTTTTTGTATTTTTTTTTTTGTGTGTTGTGTGTGTGATTGATATATATTTTTTGTCTCTCTCTGGTCTTGTGCTGGTCCATGTCTAGCCCCAGCATGCAGTGGCCCAGTCTTTTTTCTGACACATCTAAAAGAGTGTTCCAATGGTCAGAGGGAGAGGCACTTTGGCTGTCATGATATGCAGAAAAGTAACCTACAGGAGATGAGGAATAGTCTTATTGATTAAAACGTAACAGATTAGAATAAAAAAACATTCCACTAAAAATGAATTAATCATCTATTTGAAACAGAGCATTATTCACCTTATTTTTACATATTCCAAACATGCACAAAATTAAAAAAAAAAAATACCTTGGAAGATGTGAGTGCTTTTCAGAGAACCATGGCTATGGAGAGTATATCTGTTTCCTTTAAAATGCCTGCCAACCCAGCAGCTTTAGTTAATACTAAAATAAGGGATGATAAAGGAAATATTAAAAACTGACTAAATTATTGCTGTCAATTAGATCCTTTTGGCTGGTTTTGGTGTCTACAAAGATGGGAAACACAAGCTGGCTCACAGAAGATGTATTTATGTACTTCTACATCAGTTTTTATGGTGGAGAATCTCCAAATCTGAATAGCTGAAGACTAATAGGCAAGATGCATTTAGCTATCTGAATAATGGGCTTTGGTTTGAAAGAGGCTTTTTATAATTGCCATATTTGGAACTAAGATAATTAATTTTAAGGTCCTCATAAATATATTTAGAAACATTGCGACGGTTTGGGTATAAATGATATTGTACCACCTCAATAATTCCTGAGCATTTAATATATTTAAATCTTTTTAGTTTTTGACGGTACATCTGTGAAGCACTACAGGATCAAAAAGACGGATGGAAGCTTTTTCCTGAGCAAAAGGAAAACTTTCAAAACTCTGAATCAGTTGGTTGACTATTATAGCAAGGACAGTGATGGCCTCTGTGTGTTGCTCAGACAGCCATGCCTAAAGGTAAGGAGTGGATGCTACACTGTGCAAATTATTTTTTTGTGAGCTAACTCATCAGATATCTGTCAGAAAGTGTTGATCCTATATCAGCTTCTACCGTCTCAGAATGTTAATGATCTGCTTGTTTTCAGGAAGTTCTGCGTAGTGTTACAGTTTCAGTCTCGAGGTTGACAAATTAATAATAAAGTACCACATCATTTTGAAAAAAATCACCAAGTGTCTTGGGGGGGAAATATACCAAATAATTATTTCTGAATACCTTTTTATAAATACATATGGAGATGGAAAACTTCATAACTCATAACTTCATAACATAGCTGTCTTTAAGTAATTATTGAGACAAAACCACAAGGTACTGGCAAACAATACGTCACTGTTCGAAAAGCTTGCTAGAGGGATGATTTCTAATTTTTGCTTTTAATGTCAGGATATTTTTCTTTAGCATATTTCTTATTTCTAACAAAGAGCACCCAGTATGAGGGTTGTATTTATGATCTCAGCTCACTTCATCGCATGTGTATACTCTAAGGAAACATTATTTATATCTGTTCCAGCTTTACATGTCATAGTTAACAATGATTTGTGTATGTTGTTAAAAAATGTTACAGTTTCAATTGTCATATTATTTATTTTCTTTTATCAGATACAAACTCCTGCTACTTTTGATTTGTCTTACAAAACTGTTGATCACTGGGAGATAGACCGACGATCTCTGAAACTGGTGAAAAAGTTAGGATCTGGTCAGTTTGGTGAAGTATGGGAAGGACTGTGGAATAATACCATCCCTGTGGCAATCAAAACATTAAAACCAGGTACTTGAATTATTCTTAAATGTTAATAATATGAAATATTAGCAAGAGTGTTCCTTTACTTTTTAAATGCTACAGCAAAGAGAGCCTGTATCTGTATATGCACTTATTCTTAAAATCCTCACACCTAGACATGAAGATTAGTAAGGATCTAGATCCAGATAGTCTTTGGTATTTTGAATTAGAATTTTATACAGTTTTCTGTTTCTAGATGAGCTGAATTAATTCAACATCTGTGTCACATAAAAAGGCAGCCGCAACAAGGGTTGCACCTATTTTTTACAGTATTGTTTGTATGGAAATGAGTTACTCTAGATTGAATAATCTGTAGGTGAAGTAATTGATTTACTAGCAGTTTGTCATCTGTAGGATTTTTCTAGTGATTAGGTGCTATATGACAGTGATTTCTTTGGTAATATTGAATACTTACTATGCTAAATTTGTACTTGAGGAGTGATTTAATCCTAGTATTGCTTGAATAAAATTTTTCAAAGTTTTTGATACACAAAATTTATGCCCACTATTTGCATGTATTATAAGATTGTGACTAATACAGCTTTTAGCATTTTTCTTAATTATGTTTCATTAACTTCAAGTAATTTGTGCATTTTCAAATGACAACACAAAATATCTACCAGCAGATGGCAAGAACCACATAGATAAGAAAGGTAGCCTGGATAATATACATGTTATTTTAAAAAGAGATAACAACATGAGCTGTAGTTAATTGAAAAAGCTTGTGTTGACCACTAATGAACCTGATTCAGGAAGCAGAACAGATTCAGACCTTTGATTCAGAATAACATCAATATGTTTAAGCACTGCTTGAATGATCTACTGAACAGGGAGGAATTTAAGCATACATTTTAAGATTCTCTTCTATCAGGATATCTTTTGTGTTTTGGGACATGCAAATTGAAAGAAAATAAGCACCTTTTCTTGTTTTCTCTGCTTAACTGAAAATATAAAATCTGCTCAGACTAAAGACCTTCTATAATTCATATGAAAGATGATACTTTTGTTTCAGTGAACAGGTGCATCTCCCTAGTGACTCAGCAAACAGAAACCAGCTTGAAATCTCTTTTTCACTGGAATAAACGTATGACTCACTGCAAATTTGTTATCACATATAGACTAGCACAGCATAATGGAAGAAACTCCTTCAATTGTAATTCTTTTTGTAGTATCATAGCTGCCCTAGGAAAAAGGGCTTGATTAATCAATACTTTTTCTCTCTGTTTTTTCCACTCTAGTCTGAGTCTTGCTATGGTCGACGGCAGTGATTGCACGGTGGGTTGTATTGAGTTAGGGCAGACAGAAGTCCCACCTGGATGCAGTGCTTGGATAGCAGAGTTTGTGACCTAACACAGTGATAAGGAAGCCATGTGTTGCACACAATCTTGCTCAGAATGAACACTTTGATTCCCAAAGCTCTCTTGATAAATTATGTAGTTAATGCTGAATCTCTTATCACTATACTTTGTGAACTATCTCATTCTACAAAAATAGTTCAAACAGTCACAAATGTAAGCATTTAACCTTGTAGTATTACTTCTCCAGGGAATTATCCTCTTCTCTACAGTATTTTTCACTGTATAGTGGAAGGCATTTGGAGTAACTTACAGTAATCAGGACATTGGTTTTCCATAGCTTGTTCTCGTTGTTACTCAGGAGGAATAACACTTCATTGATTAAAGACAAATCACAATACCCTCACCCTAATCTGAGTAATAAATGTTTACGTTGGTACTAATAAAATTTCTGCAAAGGGTAGGGCTGGTAATTTCATTCACCATAAAATAAAGTTGATAAATGAATGGAAAACATAATAGTTAATGAGTAATCAAGAAACACGCATTGTGTTGATGACTGAAGCTTCCAATAGTCACATAAGCAATGTTTCAGGCTTCAAGTGTAAGACACTGTAAAACGAGCCTCTCCTGTTGCTTGGCTCAAAGATCTAAATCACTTGTCTTTACACTGCAACAGGAGGGGTCATATTTTAAACTACAGACTTTTCACTAAGCTGTTTTACATTGTAGACTCTCTGGACAAGCAAGTCATCAGAAAAACAGAGGAGTGTCTTAAACTCGAAGTGATCTGGCAAATGTGAGGGGCTGAGATGGAAAGGGCTCTGCTAAAAAGGCTTTACCACCAGAGAAATTGTGAAATGGAACAATGCTCTTATTACCAAGCAGGAGCAGGTTGATCAAGGGTAATCACATGGTGAGCAATGGAGAAGAGCATAATGCAATCAGAATGTTATGGATTTATAGGCCTGAAGGACAGAAAGGATTTCTGTTAGAGTTTTTCTGTTGAGCATTGTTTTGCAGTGTACTTCTGTTCTGGACCATATATAATTGGAATACTTTGTTGTTATATGCCATTACACCACATTACATACACATTACATCATCCCTCTGCTGAGATTAGCATTTATGTTTAATCAAAACACAGCTTGTTCTTGACTACACAATAATGAGAAATCCTCTAGTCCTAAAATGAAGGCACTGTAAGAATGTGTGCTTAATCTCACATTTGAATTTTCCTGATGTCTTCTCTTTAACCCTTGCTATGCCTTCTTGTAATAAAATAAAAGCCTATTTGAATGTATTAATTTTTCTTTCCATTCTGGAGACAAACACAGCATGGTTTAAACCAATTTTCAGTTGTCTTTAGATGGGCTAAATGCAGTTTCTTGTTATATAGTATCTTTCTCATTTCTCAAACAATTTTTTTCTGGGTTTAAACTAATCTCTAGCTATGGCTACTAAAGGGCTTAAAACCAATTATGCCAAAGGCATCCTGGCCTGTATCAGCAACAGTGTGGCCACAGGGCCCAGGGCAGTGATTGCCCCTCTATGCTCGGTGCTGGTGAGGCCACACCTCAAATCCCATGTCCAGTTCTGGGCATCTCAGTAGAAAATTAACATTGAGGTGCTGGAGTGTGTCCAGAGAAGGGCAAGGGATCTGGAGAAGGGTCTGAAGGGTAAATCCTATGAGAAGTGCCTGAGGGAATGTGGGTTGTTTAGTCTGGAAAAGGGAGGCTCAGGGAAGATCTTATCACTCTCTACAGCTGCCAGAGAGGATGTTGTGGTGAGGTGAGGATTGGTGTCTTCTCCCAGGTAACAAGCAATAGGAGATGAGGAAACAGCCTCAAATTGTGCAGGGGATGCTCAGAGTGGATACCGTGAACCCTTTTTTTGTGCAAAGGGCTGTCAAGCTGGAACAGGCTGCCTGGGGAGCTGATGGAATTGTCATGCCTGGAAGGACTCAAAGACATATGGATGTGGTGCTTGGGGTCAAGGTTTAGTGGGGAACGTGGCAGTGCTGAGTGAATGGTTGGACTCAATGATCTCGTAGATCTTTTCCAACCTTAATGAGTCTATGATTCTATGACCCTATGACCTTCTAACATATAGGAAAAGTTAATCTCCCAGAATCCTGGTGAGATGGCAGTAACGAGTTTTCCCCAAAGTCCCTTCTCCCTTGATGCAAATGTGTGATTCCTGACTTGTGAGTGATTAAGGTACTCAAAGTCTGCTTCCATTCCAATTTGGAGGATATTAGCAACATTTTCCCTCTTTTTCAGTATCTGGCATCTCAGATATATCAAGGTTTTTTAAAAATTAGCAGGAAAAGTATGAACTCACATATCAGATGAAACATATTCTAGATTAAAAATGAAGATTACAACGAGAAAATAACATGCTATTAAAGCACATTTCTTTATGTTGATTGTAAAGTCTGGACTCTAGGAATCCAAAAATCCTAAAACAGCCTTCCTTCCTCCTGCCTTCCTCCTGGGTTTAACTTCACTCCTGAACACTCTGCCTCCTCCTTCACTGTGGTGAACTTGTGCAGCTTGACAAGGAATAAGGGTTTTGGTTAATGCATCACAAGTTGTCTCTGATGCTCCTTCTGCCTCAGAGGAAGGGCTCCTCACATTCTTCCCCCTGCTCCAGCAAGTTGTCCCTCTCACAGGAGAGTCCTCCACAATCTTCCCCAGTTTGTGCTCTACCTCTGGGCTGCAGCTCTTCACAAACTGCCCCAGTGGGGGTCTCTTCCATGGGATGCAGTCCTCCAGGGGCAGATTGCTCCAGAACAGGTGGAATATTCCCCATTCACAAACTTCATTAGCATCAAAAAAAAGAATCCTTCACACCAAAAACAAAGCACCATAATCACAAAACCAAAGTCAACAATTTGCACACAATCCACACAATCTACCTCTTGTCCCTCCAGCACAATTACAACAATTGAAATTCCCTGAGATTATTCCACTCTTTGTTCTCAAATATCATTATCAATATCTTGCTCATTACCTCTCCTTATTCCTTTTACAATCTGTTGATCAGTATGACTATAAATAAAAAGAAGTAGCAATGTGATGTTTTCATTCAGATAATTCTGAATTTGTCCCCTGGTTTGCTTGTCTCTGGTTTGGAGGCATCTTTGACATTTTACCAGCCACAACCATAGCCATGAATGTGTGAATGAAAGAAAAAAACATAAGAATATCTTGCCCTAAGGAGCATCTCTGACTTTTGAGCTGTTTGACCCACTGTTTTCAAAGAGGTGCAGGGATCAGTAGATAGGACAATATTCTAGAAACCAACAATTGCTATTTCTGGTTTTGGCTCTGCTCAGCACTGTCTTGATGCAGGTCCCTGAATATGTCATTTCACATTTCTGTTTTTATTTCCTCACTGAGACACTGGTTTTTTTTTCCTGTTTAAGTGGAAATCATTGCAGCAGGGATTTGCACTTTGTCCTATGTTGAGTGTGATGGATTTTCTAGAACCTATTGTCTGGGCTAGCTTGCTTCTCCAGCTGTCAGCATGTGAAGCAGACATCTATCATCACCAATTAATTGTATCTGATAAAGTTCTTTATGCCTGTTGAAGCTGATGGATACATTTGTCATTATCACATTGTAGAGTATCCACCGAGCTTCTCTCTGCATGGAAACTGTCCAAGCAAGATTTTTTTTTCAGGAGGCTTTCCCAAAATAGTGTCTGGGTTGGTACTGTCAGTGGAGTTTTTAATAACATTTTCAGTTCTTTAATTTGTCATCTCTTTAATATGTATGAAATGTAAAAAGCTTTGCACTCAAGGAAGTACCCCAATTTCCCCTGGCAAAAAAAATATTTTTTTATTCTATTTAATACAGTATGTGGCCTTACACTGACTTGCTAGTTTACTTCTATATGGTGACAAAGCTGCTTGAGAACATCCAGAAACATATATTATTCATCTGTAAATGTGGATAAGCTATTTTAGTCTCTTGTGCTGCTAAATACTTAGTTTTTAAATGTTATGTCTTCATTACTCATAAAGTTCTTCAGAAGATCATAGTTATATGCTTAATGCAGTCTCCATACAAATTAATTTTCTATAAACTTTACTTAGAGGACTAGGTTCCTCTGAAATACAAGGGTACTTTGAAAAAATTTGGGAAGGTTTGTTAAAAAGTTGCAAACAAAGGGTCTTGTTTATCAAAGGGTTTATCAAATATTTAAGGACCATTTACATTTAGGCCAGTGGAATCTGGAAAATAACTGATCTTCCTCTCTAACCCATTTCCAGGTTATCAGTGTTTGTCTCAGAATGTGAAGCTTCTTCAGATCTAGAACAAAATATTTTCAGGGAGAAGTTAATCAGAACTGATACATCTGTTTTAAGTAGGCTTAAGTTAGAAGTGATTCCTGGCAAAGCAGCGCAACATAGAACATCTCAAAGAAAGATATTCCAACCTTTTGATCTTTAGAATGAGTTTGACATTCAGAAAAATATTTTTCATTCAAGAAACAGAGGATCATGACTGCATTTTCTTCAGGTCCTGATAAATCTACTCGCAAACTGGTATCTTACAAACACAAAAGAAAAAGAAAGCCTCTACTTGTTTCAGTAAAGGCTTATGTTAACTATTTGTTTTATGACCAAATGGTTTCTACTTACAGTAACCTGCTCTTTCTCCTGTGTTTGCCACTTACAGGTGAAAATGTATATTTCATTAAAAACACACATATTTGACAAGCTAAACCCCCCTCTGTTATTTGAAACTCCATGTGGCATGTTTTCCCTTCCTCAAGTGGATGTGCTGTAAATTCTTTGCCACTATTGTGACAAGCTTTATCCAACTAATTTGTAACAAGCATGTTTGGTTGCTTTTAGAGGCAGTTTTTAATTTGCTTATTCAGTTGCTGAAACCTAATCTTAGGCAGAACACTCATAAAGACCCTTTTAATTTTTTTTCAGTTGGCATCCAATCTCCTTATTAAGGGCTGTGGGGGGCTGGGCCACTGTCTGCTATTTGTACTATTAAAAGCTATAAACTAAGTAAAACTGAAGGTTACATATGCTCTTTAAAATATGCAGGAAATACTTATTGATCTTTTTCTGGTTTGTTATCATTATTGTCACTATTATTTGCTTTTACAGTGTAGAAAAGGATTTGCAGCTATTCAGCTAATGGAATAATTCCTTCCTGATCAATATATTGGAAGTTGTCATCTGTGAAAAATATGTTGCTTGGTTTCAGTTTGTTGGAAGAAGTTTATAGCATGATTAAACTGAGAAATTCCTTGTAGGCAAACTTTGATGGTGGGAACAAATCAGACTGTCAAATTCTATGGTGTGAAGAAATCCTGTATAATGATCCACAGAGGGTCCATGATTTGGTAGAACCTAAGTGAGCAAGTAGTTTATCCTTTTTAGGATCAACATGTCAAATTTTGGCATTGATGCTAAATCATTAGTCACACTGATGCATTTGCTTTTGAAGGCAGAATGCTTCACACCATGCAGCTTCTCTGTAGATTTTAGGTTGATTTTTATAACAATGCATATATCTTGAAACAAGTAAGCAAATGGGGCAAAATTTTAAATCAACGTACATTTTTTTTAAATTTAGAATTGGTGGAAAGTTCAAGTAAATATGTAAAGGTTGTGCTGCTCTAAACAAGAAAAGGACATAGAGTAAGCATTACAGACATTTTGGGTTTTCTCTCTGTCATAATCTCTGCTTTATCCAGAGCAGGTGTGATCATTTACTCTTTGTGCAGGCCCCCACTTTCCTGTGACAATGACTGAAGAAAATGAGTATAGCTTGTACCTGTTGAGGAGATGTATTGTGGGCTGCTTGCCATTTATTTATGGCGTGGAAATCCATAAACTTTGACCATTCCTCATAATGGCATCCTATAAGGTCTTGCCAAATTGGGCAATATGGGATTGCCAAGGGGAGTATGAGGAAACAGAAGTGAGGAGTATGTGTTCCTTGCAATGTAATCTTTGCTCTCCCAAGTAGCAATGTCAAGTGGCTCTTTTTTCAGAAAGTCTATGTCAGGAGTATTTCTGAATCATTCCTCTTGTATTGATGTGAGGATGAGAAATCACACATCATTACTCCGTTTTGGGAAATAGGTTGGGGCACTTTTCAGGAGGTAGCATTCAAGGTAGGTGTTGGGTGAACAGGCTGATTTTCTAGTCCTTTTTGTAGAACAGATTTTCTTTTGGAATTTTACTGCTGAGCCATTTAATATCCTCCAAGAATTTCACTTTATTTAAACGTCCATGTTTGGAACAGAGTCAAACTCCCAAATGAACCTTGTAGGTTACCTAATATTAAAAAAAAACACCAAAAAACACATAAAGACATTACTCTTGCAGCCTTGGCTTCTCAAATTACTTAGTCTGCTTACTGAGTAAGATGAGTTTATTTTTAAACATGACATAGAGCAGAATAACTTGGATAACTAGATGTTTTCCTCCCCAATCTTAACCATAATATTTTCTTAATTGAAGTATTTTGATTTGGGAGGAAGGAGACATTTAAAAGTAGTTGAATGATTGCACATTTGTTTGTACAAGCATTTTGAAGAAGATGCTATTCACCAACTTCCTCAAACATCTGACAATATCTGATCACTACTGGATCATTCATCTAGAAAGCTTTGCTTCTTTATTTGTGCATGTTTTCCTAACTAATGCCCTATTCAGGACATATGAACTTTAATCCTACATTTGCCATGACTTTAACTTCCTGTGCCATTTCTGATTGCCTCTTTGACAGAGTTTCTGCATTGGTTCACTATGTATATGAATAGAACTAGAGATGTTATGATATTATATAACATTTAAAAAATTGGCATCATTTGCTGTTGAGACACTTTGGTATTTAAGGGATTGTAAAATTAAAGTTACATCTGTGCATACATTGGTATTTCTGATAAGGTTGTTGTTGCATGATCATTATAAATAGCTATTTGTTTTCATATATATAAAATCTCTACATATGCTAAACTGATTTCAGTGCTTTCAGGCTTTGATTGGTGAAGCTGAAAATATAACAAATATAAAAATATATAAAATAAAAAATATATAAATATATAAAAAGCAGAACAAATTTTTGCAACTAAATTTTATTACAGCACTAGTTTTCTCTCAGAAATTTTATGTCCATTACCTAGATACTCTCACCTAAGTTTCTGGTCCTTTTGTTAACCAGTTGTTTGTCTAAAATGTATCCCTTAACATTCTAGCCTCACTTTTTTTTCCTGTTTGGGGGAGGCCTGGGGGTGGTTGATTTTAGCCTTTATAATTCTGGTGACTGGGACGCATATGTTCTCCGTCCCTACGCTACTGGCAAGTTTCACTCATTAACTGTTTGTTTCAGCTGCACTGTCTGTTTTCTGTGGGAACTGTGAAGACTTGAGATGCTAATGTACTTTCAAAGACAGAAAACAATATCAGTTACTCCCTTAAGATTGCCAGGCTGGGAGAAAGCCCTTTAATAACCTCAGCTTATGTTTTGTAATATGCTGTTGTTTCAGGTTCAATGGATCCAAAAGACTTTCTGAGGGAAGCACAAATAATGAAGAACTTGAGACATCCAAAGCTTATACAACTTTACGCTGTCTGCACTTTGGAGGACCCAATTTTTATTATTACCGAGCTGATGAGATATGGAAGTCTTCTAGATTACCTTAAAAGTAAGCAAATGACTCTAAACTCATTTTAAGAGTGCTGCAGTTTAGTAAATACACTAACATAAAAGACAGAAGTACAGCACCCTGGTTTAATGTAAAAGCTGAATTATTTGTCATGTGTGGGGATGAGAAAAGAGGAAAGAAGGGTTTATGAATTTTTGACATGTCAAAATATTTGAGAACTAGGAAAGACTCACATTCACAGTTTGATTTTTGCCTTATAATGGCCCATATTTTTTAATCCAGTTCTATGAGTAGATGGGAACATACACAAAGGAATAAAAACATAAGTATCCAGAAGGATAGGTCATCATATTTGACATGAAATGGAGACACTTCCATAAAATGTACTTAACAGCTTTGAAAACTATTACTAGTCAGGGATAGCTTTTCACTACAAATTTGTCCCTTGCCTATCTCATCAGGGCTTTTATGTCAGCAGCACTTCAAAGTGCTCTTTTGAAGGCAAATAATAATTAAAAATAAAATTGTACAGCCGGGAAGAGACTAGCATAATGATTGCACTTTTAAGTTCACTCCTATTATTGAGAAATGCTTGATTCTAGTGTTGTTACCCATTTTCAGTTTAGCAGATGTCTATGAGATGCTAAATGTCTTTAAAGCTGTAATGATTTCTTGAAGACAAAATGTTTGCCACGGCTGTCATGCTGAATTTCTTCTCTGTTTCCAGCCCATAAAGCAAAGCCCTGTGTAATACCACAGACAGCAATTACCATGACACATGCCTTCCCCCATCTTCTCTGTGGAACCATTTCTAAATAAGGGTCTGTCCATGCACAATTACAGCTAAAGAAATCTCTTACACAAAGACAGTCCTACCAGGAGCTACCCAGAGTGGGTTTGCCATGACCTTGGGCCAGATCATCCACAATTTTGTAGGCATTTGCTGGCCAGAGGTAGCAAGGCACAAATTTCCTTTAAATTCTCATCTTTGGTGGCTTTGTGCACAGATTGCAGTTTACCTGATTGAAAGAGCCTGGCACATGAGGAAATGATTGCTGTGCAAGGAAACATTTATTGCACTGGAGAAATAGCTCTGAGAAAGCCAGGATGAGTCACAGCTACTGCAGAGGTGAAAATTGGCCTGTTAGTGTGCATATAGAAAACACATCCAGAGCACACCAGTGCTGCAGCCTGTGTGTGTGGATCAGTTGCCAGCATTTGCACGGCACCCTGCTCCTTGCCTAAGTGCTCACTCCTGTAGCTCTTCATCAGAGGCTGTGGAAAGTCAGCTGGTTTCCAGGCAGCCTTCAAAATATCCATAAAAATGTCCATCTGAAGCCCAGCCTAGTGGCATCCCTCCTTGTCTGATGGCCGATGTACAGGGAGGGGCACAGAGCTAAGAGGTGGAGGCAGAGATCCAAGCGTTTTGATAGGTGTTGTGGTCAGAGAAAAGTCATTGCTGTCAGTGAGACTAATAAGGAAAGAGATTTGAAGCTTGTGCAGAGCTCTGTGACTGGAAGTGATCTATATCAGCTGGAGTGCACAGCTCCTGATAAGTTTTCTTGAGATTCAGCATCTGCAGGAAACAGGAAAATATTTCCAGAAAGCTTCTGTCTCTGTGTGCATGATGGGTAAATAGGGCAACCTAGGGTGGAGGAAAGTCCAGAGATATTCTTTGTTCCTATTCCCATCCTAGAACTGCATGGTATGCTTTTCCAGCTTTAAAAGTCCCTCATATTTTATTCACAGTTTCTATCATGTTTCCCCATAATGACAGCTACTTAATAATGATGGACATGCGAATTCCCTGTGCACACTGTGAATGTATTTTGGGAGAGCTCTTGATGAACACTGCTATGCAGAGTTATTGAGCTGCCACCAGTGTGAGAAAAATGCACCTGAAAACTTTTCTTTGTTATTGGAAGTGAATGAAATTGTCATAAATATATGAGTGCTTTTATCAATTCTGATGGACCTGGGACTTGTTCTGGCAGGTATGCAGTCTTGAAGTTCGGTGAATTATTGTGGAGGCAATGTCCTCACTGGAGAAAGTGCCACTTATTTATTTTTCTCTATTTTTATTGTCAGATATCTGTCAATGAGAATAACTTCATGCCTTTTCTATATGAGTGATTGTGATAGATTGCTTAGAACAGGCCTCAGACCCCAAGACTTCTTTAATATTTTCTCTAATAAATTTTTCATATGAGGTTGAGGGTTTTGTCAAAAAATATTAGTAAAAAAGGACATGGAGGTGCTACATTTTCTTTATCAGTAAAGAGTAATCCATGAGGAGATTTTATAAATTCAGCAGTAGTGCCTGATTTTCAGTGTGGAAGTTATATAAACATATTTATACATCTATATCTAGCTAACTAGCTAGATATATGCTTAGAGCAGCCTTCCAGTATCTAAAGGGAGCCTACAAAAGAGCTGGAGAGGGATTTTTTACAAGGCCAGGTAGTGATAGGACAAAAAGGAATGGCTTTATACTGAAGGATGGTAGGTTTACATAAGGTAATTCTTAGAAATTCTTCACTATGGGGATGGTGAGGTACTGGGATACCTGGTCCAGAGAAGTTATCTTGAACTTGTATACTCTGTCTGGCCCAGCCTGGAGTTTTGGAGATGTAGTCAGAAAGCTTTATGAGACAGACATACATGATTTATACCTCAGATCCCAAAGAGACCTGAGATTTCATCTGTCTTTGTGCACAAGTTGTAGCTTCTGGTCAGCTGAGTATCCTCATTAAAGCTTTCCCTTTAGCTCCAGAACAGCTGCAGTGCACAGGCAGCTTACAGAGAGAGATTATCCAAGAAATATTGCAGGAGCCAGGGCAACTCTTCCCCTCCCTCAGCCCACAGGCTACAGGCAGTCTGGTATTCCAAACGGGCCCTAATGAAAGAAATGGTCTTTCAGCTGCCACTCCAGCGTTAGAGATGGCTCTCATCTGTGTCCTTTGGCATGGTGCACCTGGGTGTCCTGCAGGGAATAAAACAGGGAGGGTTTAGCAGTTCTAACTCCTATTCTGCACAAAGCAGCTCATTAAACACGAGGCTGATGAGTCACCCCTTTTTCCTCTGGCATTGCCTTATTTTGCCTCTTGGAGCAAGGTTAAGTCAGGCTGTCCTGGAGCATCAGCAGACCAGTGACAAACCTGTGCTCAGCTTTGTTGGTATCCTTATCTGCTCTCACCAGCAGGTAGTTCACAACACAGGCAGATGAAGTAGTGTCAAAGAGAATATTTAAAGCTGATTGACAAAGGCTAGCTTCCAAAACCCTATTACTAATACAAAGTGCTTGAAAACATATAGTTATTTTCTGATTAAATACAACATGAGCATCATTTGTGGATTTATATCCTTGTCTAGCAAGATGAATAATAAATGTTCATGCCTGCTGGTTATCAGAGCTGAAAATCTTCAGTGTTGTATTATTCTGCGGACTATGGATTTTCACACATTTTTGTCACTCTCTCTTTTAAATTTCCAGGCAGCATTAAACCATATGTATAGGAGAGGAAAAGATATTTTACAATAGAAGTCAATAATCTTAGTGCTGGTTTATCATGGCATTGAGTTTAGCCTCAAAAAGGATGTAGAGTAAGACACATACAGGACAAATTTATTTATTTATTTATTTTGCCTAATTATGTCAAAGCAGTCAGATAAACAGGAAATTCAAGGCCTGGAGACTGCAGAATAGATTAGTAAACAATGGCATTTCACACTTCATAAGGTGGGATCACAAGGTTACATCAAATAAAATGCCAGAACTGGAAGAGGCTATTTAGAACGATGCTAAGACACACTATCACTGCAAATCAGTTAAAAATAAATGAGAGAAAACTGCCAGCTACAAAAGTTTTATTTCTCTAATACAGAGGTAGTAAGTAAAAGTCACCAACCTGATGACAAAGAGCTGCCAATAAGCCTAGCAGCAAGGATTCAGCTTTTGATATTAAGGTTCTGAAACAGAAAATTGAAACGGTTTTGAGTGTTAGAGGCTACAGAGGCAGAAAGCCATGCTTCAGTGCTGCACCATTTGGGACTGGGTGACAGTGGTCCTTGAATGTAACACTGATATGATAAACCATGGATTACCTCCTGGTTTAAATTCTTTGCATTGAGAAGGTTGGTTAGCTGTCCCCCAAATGCCACAAAGGCCATGAATTTTTACTCTAACATGTTATACCCCAATGAATTTATTTATTTTTTTGTTACCTCTCTTACAATTTTTGGCTGCAGTTTTTTATGGCCTAAGACTTTCCTTCACTTGTGGAGGCAAGTTGCTCAGCTCAAAGTTCTTCTACTGCATTGTTTGAACAATGATCTTTGATTGCCAAATCTCAGTTTCTGGAATTTGCTTATCTTAGTGTGGTGGGAATGACACGAACATTGCTTCAAAAAGATTCTACTGGAGAATCAGGCAGCTTGAAAGCATCTCAAGGAGTCCTACTGTTAAGTAGTGACAAGAGAGATAACAGCGTGAAGCAGTCAAGTGGACTGGAAAGTGAAAATGAGTTATACTTGACAGCAGATGGTATTTTTCCTAGTCAGAATCATTGGAGAACAGGGAACAAGGATAATTCTGTGCTTTTCCATCTTTAGTCAGCTCTGGCTACAGCCACTGGGTACTGACATTAACTCTTACTCACGGTTTGGAACAGTTTTATGAACCCGTCAGAAAGGTGCATACTATGTTACTATCAGTAGATCAAAGATTTTCTCTTTGGACTTTGACAGCAGCTCCTTCCTGGCCTAGATTAACTCCTGCATTTCGTATCTACTCTTTTAGAGAAGATGGGAGAAGTGTTGTCACTTGTTGGCAAATAAGTAATGTCATTCACTAACCCCTGCCATTTAGCTGGGATGCTACTTTATTGTATTGCATGGTTTGGTTTATTTGTGTTGGCTTTTTGAACCAATCAGGTTTTCAGATGTCTGAAATCGACATCTTGTTCTTGTTCTTATGTTGTTCTTGTCATCTCTTTTTTAAACAGATGATGGGGGCTCTCAAATCTCCCTGACACATCAAGTAGACATGGCTGCTCAGGTGGCTTCTGGCATGGCATACCTTGAATCTCAGAACTACATCCATCGGGATCTGGCAGCCAGGAATGTTCTTGTTGGTGAACACAATGTTTACAAAGTGGCAGACTTTGGACTTGCAAGAGTTTTTAAGGTAGGTTGTGAGAGGTTGTCCCTGATTTTAACTTGGGAGAACAAGGTGGAAGAGGCCAGCTAAACATCTAATTGTAGCCCTGAATGGATGGATTTAGACAAAGGCAAGCCCAGGGAGAAAAGAACCTATAACACATTCACTTGTATATTCTACCTTCATTATCCCATGCAATGTTACATGTTGTCCTGTGCCTTTGTATAAGTTTGAAGAATCCTCATCTCTGCTTCCTGCCCAGCCACCCAGTAAGGATCCTGGCAAGCAAAACCCTTTGCTGGACAAGCTTTATCCACAGTGTCTGCAACATGGAGCGGAATGATGGAAAGATTATACACTTGGGCCTGTAAGGGAAGGCATATAAAAATGTATTGACATATATTCTCTCCTTTTTCACTTCCCCACTACCTCCATGATGCTTGTGATGACAGGTAGTAATCAAAAAAAGACCTTATTCCTCTCCACAATTAACAGCAAAGTTCATAAAGTGAGCTCTCAGAGCTTTAAATCTTATGCAATCACAAATTCTTTGCCACTGCACCAATTTGTTTTTTTTCTCTAGTCTTTGAAGGCAGAGAATGCAAAATATCACTGACCAAAAGTCTCCCTATGAAAGAGCTGTGGTTTATAAATTAGATTTCCTACCTCTGGAAATGATTTAATCAGTGTTGGAAAGATTTGTTTCGCCATATTTTATGGTTTTCAATGTGAAATCTGTATTTGATAGGAACGGAAAACAGGAAAAGGGAAAGGGAAAACAGAGAAAAAAGTCTCATGCTTCTCATTTTGTTTTTCCATTCAAGCAGCAGAATTTGAAGTTCATAACAAAATTTGATTTATTTCATACTGAACTATAGAATAATGGCTTAACAAAGGCATCAAGGGAATTGGAAAATTCTTTTTATTTAATTTTGATTCTTTTAAATATGCATAAGTCCATATTTCAAGTTCCTTAACATGAAAATATATATATTTTTAAACAGGCATTGCTCATAATGGATATTTCTCTTCTGTCCTCACTAGAAAGGGTAATAATTTACAGCTGTTGACATTTCTTGTTAAAACTGAACTTTACTAAAATACTTATAGAGTTACTTGGGCAGATTTTCTTAGGAATATTTTGTCTCCTAAGCCAAAACACTAACATAGTCACATATAAAGGATTAAGTGTAAGAAATGAAATCTGTATTTTTACATGTGTTATTTAGTGTAATGAAATAATTTCTTGTTTCTAAAGATGAGTTATGGTCTAGATGCCAACTGTATAAGTATAGAGATACAAACCAATAACAACCAATATTTTCAAAACTATAGAGCATTGCAGCTGGAAAACATACATTTTGTATTTCAGAATCTTTTTTATATCAAAGAAGCTAAATCTGGTACACGAATGTCTGGATTTGCACGTGAAAAACTTGACCGAGGCTTAAGGGCGACTTGTGTACACTAAATTACATGCAGGAATTAAAGAGAGAAGAAATGTTCACGAAATTTAGATGTCTATGTGGTAAACCTTTAAGGATATGATTCTACAAATTTGTGACTTAACAATTTTTTTGTCTTTCACCTACACTTTACATTAATTAGCTCACTGGAAACGAATATGTTAATTTGGATCAGTCAGGGTTTATTCTTTCTTGCCCAAAAACCTGCTTATGTGACTGTTATCAAAGTCAGTGGCCCTTCAGCACCACAATAAAACACAGAAGAAAGGTTCTGAAATTCATTAGCTCTTGCCTTCTTTATTTGCTGTAGACCAGACGTGGAGACATTTGGTCTCTAGTGTCAGCAGGATGCTTACACTGCCACTCCTGACAGACTTTTGAAATCTTGCACGCCAGGTCCAGAATTCACAGTAGCAAGTCATAATTAATTGATCAGGAGCCACTCCAATGCTGTGTGCTGGCTTGAAATGATACTTGCTTTAGAAAAAGCCTCTGATGAAACCTCCGCATTTTTCAACTGCAAAGCTGAATCCAGTGACAGCCTTCAGAAAATGGGTACTTACATGAAGAACAAGAGTTTGGTTAAAAGATGATAAGATTAAGCACATGCTGAGTTTAGTCAGATGCTTAAGCGCTTTGCTGAAGCAGATCTGAAACCAGGCTTGCTTTGTTTTACCCATGATAGGTAGAAAATGAAAAAGTATATGAAGCTAGGACTGAAACAAAACTCCCAGTGAAATGGACAGCCCCGGAGGCAATCCGCTACAACAGATTCAGCATTAAATCAGATGTCTGGTCATTTGGGATACTTCTCTTTGAAATAGTCACCTATGGGCAGATGCCTTATCATGGTAAGTACTTTTACCTAAAGAATGATGTCTAATTTTTTTCTTGATTTCAGAATGACACACAAAAAAAAGAAGGTTGAATACCTGTACTATGGGTATGTTAAAGGGTTAAAACTTTAAAGAGAGGAAGAAGGTTGTTCAGATGAGGTCCATTTAGTGGGTCAGACCTTCTGGCTTCCCCAGGCCTCCTGGCAGCTTTGCAAAGGCAGTGGTTAGCACACATTCAAGCTTCTTCTTGCTGGAGTCAACCTGCACTGCACAAGCATCTAAGCCAGCTGGCTATTTTCCTCCATCATCAGATCAAAGATGCAAATTCTTGGAATGAGAAAAAAGAGAAGAAATTAAGGAAGGGTGTTTTATTCCTCAACCTGTCCTCTTAAATTTATTTTTTTTTTTAAAGTATACCTCATGAAAAAATAGATTATATATGAAGCACTGCACAAGCACTTCAGGAAGAATTCAGGAAGAAGGTGTCTGAAAAATAAATCAGGGTGCTTTTACCTCCCTCACTACCATTTGATTGTTGTGGTGGAAAGTCTTCATAAGGGAAAGGATCACAAGAATTAAATAATTAAAAAATAAAATGTTACCAACTTCAAAAGTAGATATAGTAGTCTGAGAGCAGCTACTATTTCTAGCACTGTGAGAAATGCTCAAGGAACTGTGGCTCCAATAACACAAGATATCAGTGAGATGATTGACTGTGTCTCATTTTATGCTGGTGAGTAGAACACAAGGGAAGGACTAAAGTAAAAAAAAAAGTTATGTTGCACCGGTACAGGCCTGAGGGGTGGTGCATTTGCCATAAACTACATTTCACAGGGTCCCAAACTGATATTTTCTGTAAAAGGAAAAATTGATTTTGCTTTTTTGATTCCCACCCTCACCTCCTGCAAAATTGTTCTGAGGAAAAAAAAAAACCAAAGCAAAATATCCTGAAGTCTTATATAAACTATAGGTGTGTGCATATGGACACACACACATAAATAAATCATTTTAGTATCAAAAATATGTAACGCCGTGGCTCTGGATATTGTCTGAAAATCCATCCAGTGTTACCCCTTTGAAAAGGCATAGTTTATCCGTATCTTGAAAGTACAAAATGCTGTTTTGCCATGGCTATTTTCTTACTTGGCATTACTTTTAGGAGTCTGTTCTCAGTAATCAGTGGGGGTTATGTTGATTTGTGGTGGCAGTGGATAATGTGCAGAGGAAACACCATTCAGAGATCTAGGGGAAAGCAGTTAACACAATTCAAGATTTATTTTAAAGAGTATAACATTGGAAGGGAACAGGACAATAGTCTTAGTATATAAAGCAAAAGTAGGGGAATGGTTTCTTCTCCATGACTGGCGGTGATGGAGCAGGGTGGACACCATTGCCCAGATGCCCTTGAAGAAACCTAGGGCTGACTTTTGGAAAAAGCTTTTGAATGTGAAGAAAATTCAGCAGCAGGTCAGGTTTTATTAGGAGATTTTCTAGTCACTGAGGCTAGAGATGTTTAGGAGCTATTTAAGCTAAATAGATGCCAGAAAAATTTTGAGAAACCCAAATGGTGCAGGAAAAGCCTCACACCCAGACAAACCTATTTTCGATGCCTTGCAGCTGACACAGTCAGGGTGAGGTGGTTGGGAAATATTGGAGGTGGTTTTTAATTCCTGGTAAACAATAACAGATAAGGCCCTGGAATTGTTCAAGGCCAGGCTGGAAGGGGCTTTGAGCAACCTGGTCTAGTGGAAGGTGTCCTTGCTCGTGAGAGGGGTTTTGAACTCGGTGATCTTTAATGTTCTTTCCAACCCAAACCATTCTATGGTGATTCTGAGCTGAAGCGAGAGAACACATGGCATCCATAGGCAGATCCTGAGTAGCCTGGTGAACTCATTTTGGCTTGTAGGTGTGCCAGGATACCAGGTGATCCAGATGCTGGACGATGGGTACAGACTTCCTCAGCCGGACACGTGCCCAGCGCCACTCTACAAGATGATGCTGCAGTGCTGGAGCGCGGAGGCGGAAGAGCGGCCCACCTTTGAGGTCCTCAGCAAGCAGCTGGAGGGCTACTTCAACACTGAGCCCTATTCGTTTGCCTAGGCCCAGGCCATGGGACACAAACCCTCAGGATACTCCTGAAGGACATGTCCAAGCCAACATGGCTAATGGAGACTGTGGAGTCAGCCTATCCCCAGGTGTGGCCATTATTTGGGGGTGCTGAAGATTCCTGGTACATTTCATCCCATCCTTGATCTTCAAAGACTCTTAAAATTTTTGCTGCTGGCAAATGTTTGCAAGATAAAGCATCATAAAGCTGTAGGGTGGGTGTTTCTAAAAAATAAAGAGTCTTCTATTTATTTTAAAATGACAAGTTGCAAGAACAAACAAATGAAATGAGTCTAGCTAAGTAACTATTGTAGCTTTTTGTCATTTCTTTATTGGAATAATTATTTACTGTTAGATTTTTCATTCTAATTAGTTTGTTCTCGTGAGGGAATGTGATGGCTCTACACAGCAGGATCTGTGCTCCCAGAGTCCTTTCATTGTAAAAAATAATAAAAGTAATCCTGTGACTGTGATGGCTCTGATTTGGCAGAATCCAAATTAATTGCCTTGCTTAGAATTGAAATACATTTCTTTTGCTATATCTGAAAATAAAGACCTATTCATGGGAAAAAAGGAATTATTTTGTTTTGTGGATGCTGGCTGATCTTTTTTATATTTTGTCTACTATACTTCTTTTACAAGAATAAACAAAATTATTATTAGGCTCCTGAAGCTGTTTGTTCTTAAGATTGTTGAATATCTATGAGTTATTGTCAACTGAGTTTTTGTCCATTGAACTGTGAGGATTTATTTTGCGATTCTTAACTTCAGGGCTATTGGAGGAAAAAGATGTTTTAACAGGAACTCAAGACTGTCTCAAAGTTTTAGAGTGACAGCCTTTTCAATCCCACTTCCCCAAATCATGAACCCACTCCAACAGGGTAGGTCTTGTATTTTGCAGAGTAACTGGCACTCCTTTCTTCTACCTTCTTCAGATTCAGCTTTAATACAGGAAATGTAAGCAATAGATGATCCATGTTATTTTGCTCCATGGAGAAGTGGGGCCCAGGTGTTTCTTTTAGTAGTCTATGTAGCTATAGATGTTATTTTTTCTTGCTCTTTCCCTAACTACAATATTGGTTCTGCTAAAATCTGGTATCACTGTGACAGTTTTATATTCTCAGTTGTGAGGCTTACTGAACCATGTTTTAATTATTTACTTATGACTCATCAGTTAATTATTTAACAACATTATTCAGGAATTAAGAGCTGTATTGTGTTAACATAGTGTGAGGTCAATACAAGTGTGCTACCATTTTCTTCTAATATCAGAATGATCCATTTCTGGATCTGGGTGGTTTTTATTACATCTTTTCCATATGATTATCTTCATTTTATATTTCAAATCTATTCATTTTGTTTGCCTGCCTTGCTTCTAATTTTTAATTTCCTTTCCCCCTCCTCTGCTTTTGGAAGGCAGAACACTGCTCATTTCTTTCATACGCACATTAAGTACTCATTATTCAAAAGCTCTTTCCTTATTTATCATTTTTCTTCTCTTTTTATCTCACCACAGTGGCTTTCCAACACTGTGTCTATGTTCAACTTAGTTTTTGTGCAGTGTTTCTCTCTACTAACCCTCTTCATACTAATTAAATTTGTGACGCATAATACAGCTATAATTAATTAACTGTCATAACATCCATGCGATTTTGGAAATTCACTCTGAAAGAAGAAGAGGTTAAATGGCTTTGCCAAACTCATCTGATAAGAATTGGCATGGAAGGACCTGGGATATTCCCAGGCAAAGTATCCTGCTGTTCTCCGTCCGTGCTTGTTTTGAGACTTGTGCTAGCTTCTGGCCTCAACAAGATGTTATTTATGATTATCAAACTTCCATCAATCCATGCATTTCTCATCTAGCTAGGAGCTGGGTTTAACACTGTTACAGGATGAGGTTAACAAATCCCACAGAGTGGGTTTATGTAATAATAATAGGAATGCTGTTATGTGGAAAGATTTCTGTGTCAAACTAGTGATTTTCCTGTTCCAGCAGTATTTCTAACATGATTTTTCAGACTTATGACATTAAGAATGTTGCAAATAAAAGCTGAGTTTGCCCAATCAAGAAAAAAAAAGCAAAGCAAAATCACCCAAAATTACTGATAAAAGATTAGCACAGATGTGTGTATTTCACAGGAGGCCAGCTGCCAGGAAAAAAATTAAATTGACAGCAGGGAAATAGGAAGGTTTTCAGAATTCCAAATTACACCAACCAGTCCAAGCTGCTCTGTGTTGGCCTCTGCCCTTCGGTGGAAATCAACAAGATTTTGCAGAACTCCACTGAAGTGACACCAGTAGTTCTGAAGAAATCCCACCTGTACAATGAATATATTCCTAAACCAACATTTATGGAGTAGAAAGTCTATTTGTCCAGCTAAATTGACTTGTCTCCTTAATTCCTTCTATAGTCAAAGGAGAGAGAGAGGTTCCTTGAGATGATGAATCAATGTCCCAAAACTTCATTTCTCCTCTGAAGCACCTTTGGCAGGGTTCTCTGTGTTTGCTGCTGGGAAGGAATCTGGCAGAGATGAGACTCTTTGCTGAGGAGGGTGTGCAATAATCCACCGGCTGCAAACCGTAATCGACTGTTTCAGTCTCCCTCTACCAAGGGCAGCCTCAGGAGCCACTCCAGGCTGGAAGGAGCAGAAGTTGTGAGTGAAATGCACCCAGCTGAGCTGTGTGAGGAGCAAACACTTGCATGTGATGGCCTGCAGGTGATGCAGCCTGGCACACTGGGCTGCTGTTGGCAGGCACCTTTCCTGGCTGTTGCATCCTGCCGCTCTATCTGGGCTCTCTCCTTGTGTGCTTGCACAGCTGCAGCTGCTTCATGGAGTCTGAGTCTGCCAGCTGCCTCTCCTACGTGCTGGCCCAGAGTGAGAGACCTGCAGTGCTGTCTGAAAAGCAGCAGGTAGGTTCACTTTGGTGTGTCTCATTATAGGCACTGCAACAGGTAAATTGATTTTATGTTCATCTTTGAGGCAGCCTGTGCACGTCTGGCCTCCCCAAAATCTACTGTAGGTGAAAAGGTGCGCTGAATCTTTGTCTTCCAAGCCTGAGCTCCACTTCTGCTGCACTGCTATGTGTCCTGGGACCAGTGCACTTTCTTTTTGTAGCAAATTGAAAATCAAGAAAAAAGCAGGGAAGTAGGTGCTTCATTTTTCTTTTGTTTTTTAATTATATTAAATCTGGTACCTGGTAGAGTCCCTTTGCCACTATGAACAACCCAGTGGAGGCCAAGCTTGGAAACCACAAGTTCTGATCTGAGATCTGTTAGTTCCTCTTTCTGGCTTCATCCATGCACTTGCACTCATTCCCTCATTTTGCCTGTCTGGAAACTGCTGCCATAACAGGAAAATGCTGCCACACTAATATGAGGTCCAATTTTGGATATTTGTTTTTTTCCTTGGGCTAGAAGGGGAACAAAAGAGACAAAAATCACTAAATGCAGTAGAATCAGTAAAGCTCTGGAAATAAAAAGTAATAAGGAAAATTAATAATTTGTTTTCTGCTCTTTCCATATTTTTGCAGCCAAATGGATCCATTATGTTGAAAGATTGGAGAAAGAAGGCAGCAAAAAGTGATGAACCTTCACAGAGTTCAGTTTGCTTACAGGCAATGCAGCAAGCAAAACTATACCTTTACAAACCCATTTCCATTTTATAATAATTTTATTTATGTGACAGATAACAATTACAGTCAGAAGTCTTTTCTATGACTTGTTTTAAATTAAACCTCAAGGTTATCATTTCCAGTTATAGTGCACAGCAAGATAGGTTTAACAGATCTCATTCTGTTCTTGAGGCCTTTTATGTTCAAGGCTCTGCTAGAAATGTCTATTGCACTTGTTTTTACCTGATGGATCATGGAGGGAAAATAATGGATTCAGTTATGAGAAACAGTAATAGATTTTTTTGAACTGACATAAATTTCTATGTTTAGATAGAATAAAAGGATCAGGAAGAGATAAGTTGAATTTTCTACAATAGACTGGTCCTTGTGAAATTCACTTCACATAAATTGTACTGAGATATCTTTTATGTAATGTTTTATTTATGTAATTCAGTTATTCTTTGACAACTAAATCATTTTATGTGGTTTTACAAATGATAACATAAAAATGTCCAGCCTCAATTTTTCTTAAACTCTCCATTCCTCAGAAAGTTATGGAACAATGAAACTGAGAAGTAAGTATTAGAGAGTCCCTGGTGTTTATTTTTTTACTTCTGTTGGAGAACTTTTCCCACTTAATCTGCACTCAAGAACATATGTGAGTGTACTAAACATGATAGGGAACCTTCTGTCTCTCATACTGCTTTTCCTTTACTGTCCATTGTATCCCATACTTGCTCTCCGAATTACTTGACTATGAGCAGAAATTTTCTTTGTGTATTTTTGTACCTTACCGCAAACAGGGAACCAAACCAGTTGAATGGCTGGAATTTGTGGTGGTTGAGACTCAACAAATTATCAGCAGATAGAAATGGAGTACATGGCTTATTCAAGTGATTGTTCCTTGTTCTCTCTCCCCCATGTGCTTCTGTTTCATGACTTTAAAAATTGCTTCAGCAGCACATCCACTCAGTGTCCCCCAGCCATTTTGACTGGTCAGCTACTTGTAGCATATGGATCTTGGAGCAAATAAAAATGCTACATGTAGGAGCTGCTCCACTGTGCTCAAAGGGATGTAAGTGCATGGTATATTTTTATGGAAAACTGTGTGGCTTTTATTCTCTTCCAACAAGACCTGGGCCAGTGTGTGCCTCAGCCACTGCTGTAAAAGTTTTCTCAGAAGAACTGTCTACATTTGAACTGGGGTCTATGAAAAAAGACTTAGTTCTATCCTCAGTTACTATTATCAGGTCCATGTAATTTACTTTTTTAGTCTCAGGCTTCCTAGGAAAGACAAAATGTGAAAGAAAAAAAAAATCAATGGCATGTAGGAGCAAGCTGGGGAAATCACTGAAAAGTACTTTTGCATTTTAATCTTCACAGATATATTGGGCTGAAGAATTCAGTCTGGCCTTAGCTTGGTATAGAGAAAATGAAAATGTATGTTTGAGGCATTCAGTAGCCCAGAAATGAATTTTAGCCAACTTCTGGATCTCAGTATCACTAGAATTGAAAACGGTGACAGAAGCTGTACCTTGGATCCCACCACTATTTTCAACAAAATTAATTCTCCCAAATTAAGCAGATATGGAGAAGACAAATACAATGTCTTGCTTTCTTTCACCTTCCCCATTTATTTACCAATATTACAAGAAGATTAGGAATGCCACTGAGTAAAGACTCTCTTTAGTTATGCTGAGTGATAAAGAGTTCATTTCTGTTCTTTTTCTAAAGTGAAATAAAGAAGTTGAGCCTTAACCATTATTCTTAAAACTACCTTAAAAAAAAAAAAGGTAGGAATTTTTCATACTTTCACATTTGTTCATGTCTTTAGAAAAGACAATAGGGAACATTTCAGAGCAAAGAAATTAAGCATTTCAGAAACCTGCTACTGAACGTGTAACTAATGCTCTGAATAAGCTGCTTACACTATTTACACTATTAAAGGAAACCATATTGCTTTGCAGTCTTTTTCT